CCCTGTAGCAACACCGCCTTGGTCCTGAACAAGTTCCCAATTCATTGACCGCGGGATAGAAGAGCACTGATAATAAGAGATCGGCCACATCCGCTCCAAATTGGGAAGGAAAAGACGACGGTTGTTGATGACCTTCAGCCATTTGTAATTCCCCTCAGACATCCGCTTGGGATCCATTTTTATAGAATCCCCGAATAGGAAGGATGGCTTCTTTAAAATCTCACGCTCTGCGGTTTTAAATTTGGCATCCGTAACCAAAGACCTGAGAGTCTCAGGAAAAGCTTGAGTGATGAGTTTCACCCGCTCTTTGTGGGCGTCCTAGAATATTGGATACTCGAAGGCAAAGCTGAAGATTGTATTTTTCACTGCACCTCCCACGTGACCGAAGTAGTAGTTGAACGAAAGAGGCTCGTTGGAGTAGCACACTGCAAATAGAAAAAAATCAGTCAAGAGAAGTCTAACACAAGAATGCAAAGTTTAGACCTGCGTTCAGATCCTTAAACGCAGGGTCTCAACCCGCATCCAAAATTCCAAACGCAAGGTTCAGACCTGCGTCCAAAATTTTAAACGCAGGGTCTGAACCTGCGTTGAAATTTTAGGAACGATGGAGCTAGCCATACGTTTTCTTAAAATTGATAAACATTGAGAATTATCTCTCGAGTTTAAGGATGAAATACAGATCGCCAATCAAGGGTCAAAGATGAGAGATCTGTCAAATCAACTTACAATGGCTCAATCTTACCATTAGTTGAGGAAACTGGAGACGAAGGCGTAGTGATTTGATCGTCCCTGGAGGTTCTAGCCGAAGGAACACCCAAAGCTTTGGCAATCTTTGATTTAGAAGCCATTTTCTTCTTGGGGCCCATTCCAATCGAGGCGAGGAAGATGAAGATGGGTGAACGAGGTCCTTTCCTCTGTCGAACTGCCGGAGAAGATGAACAGGAGCCCTGTTCTTTCCTCTGTCGAACTGCCGGAGAAGATGAACAGGAGCCCTGTTAGGAAATCGGTGGAAGAGCAAGAAAGGGAAAAGTCGAATGACTTTTTGATTTAACATCAGTGGCCTATTTATACACAGCTGTAGTTGTCAAATCAATGTGGGATTCTAGGCAAAAATCTCACCCGAAACGTGATTCTCGCATTTTCAAAAAAGGGGGTTTCAACTTCTGAACGCACCCTCATATGCAGACAGCTGAACGCATGATTTAGACATGCGTTCTGGTGACCAACCTCCGCCTATCACGTAACTAACTCCTTCAAAGGGGTTAATATTCCAAGCAATAACCAGACGGCTGAGATCATTTTACCCCAGGCGAGCTGATCAAGAAGATTCTTCCGAAGCTGTCTTCCTGACTAAGCTGGGGATGAAAGCCTGTTCGTACAAGCTAAAGTCTAAGTCATTATTGACAGACTAAACAAGAAAGAGGATGTCAACAAATTTGTCTAAGACCCTGAGATGTTCCACTCAGTCTATGTTGAGATGCATTTAATCAGCAAAATTTTAGGATCCAAAGTATTCCGAAAATTCGTCCTAGTCAACCGCGAACTTTCGAAAACTTTGGAGGGGGTTCTGTAGGCTGTCTAAAAATCACAATGGATAGCTGATCCCTATCAGGCTATAACAAAGAAAGTTACAATCAGACGACTTTCTTGTTACCCAACAGAAAGTTACAATCGAGGGACACCCCTATGGACCATGAAGAAATCGAGAGGTAGAATTCATCCCTACAGTCGAAACACAAGTGGCTACGTTCCAAAAGACGAAGCACCGCAATCATTGCATCCTCAGCTATCAACGCAGTCCCATGTTTGAGATGATTGATCTTGATGGCTGCGACAACAACATGACTAACATCATATTAGCAACTATTAGAGATGATGATGAGCAGTGTAATGATTTTAGAAAAGCAAGAAGATTTAGAGAACTGTGGACAAATATTCGACATACTGAGAAGTGCACGGTTAAAAGCCATGAGGTCTTAGTGGAGATCGTGATCCGCAGTTGATAGAGCGTTATTGGGGTGTCTCAAGTATCACAAATAGCCTTCTCTACTGGTCATTGGTGTCATCCATATATAAAGACAGACAAAACGCAGCTTAAATCAGCCGTTGAACACAGCTTAAATCGCCACTGGATGCAGCTTTATTCGCTGCCCGATGCAGCTCAACATCGCTGTACAACGCAGCTCAACATTGCTACACGATGCAGCTCAATATCGCCACTGGACGCAGCTCAGCATCGCTGCCCGACGCAGCTCAACATCGCTGCACGACGCAGCTCAACATCGCTGCACGACGCAGCTCAACATCGCTGCACGACGCAGCTCAACATCGCTGCACGACGCAGCTCAACATCGCTGCACGACGCAGCTCAACATCGCTGCACGACGCAGCTCAACATCGCTGCACGACGTAGCTCAACATCACTGCACGACGCAGCTCAACATCGCTGCAGAACACACTTCCAGATGCTGCGTTCAAGCACAGAATCTATACCAGAACGCATTTCAAAGTTCTGACCTGTTCAAACACGATCCATGCAGTTTCGAAAACCGCTCTTCACCCATGATTTGAGGAGTGGCTTACGTGGGTTGTTACAACCGATTAATGAGGCAACTAAACCCTCATTTAGGAGCGGATTATGGGGGCAGTTACACCCTAATCTCCCTATAAATATCAACAAATTCAACAGAGTTCGGCGGTTGGACTTTTGGAGGTCGGATTCAGATAGTGAGGGTTAAAGGATCAGCTCCTTACACCGTCTGGGGAATCATCATCAACTGAATATTCCAGACACTCAATACTTGGCTTATTAACCGAATTATTTTCGGTTCTGTTAACTCTTTTCATATTAGAGTTTGTTACTCGTTCTGAGCTACAATACTTATCAAGAGTTATCGACCAGGCAAGCCAGTTGTTCCAGTGAATTGAAGTTTTCGGATCGTCAACGAGAAGCAAACTCGACGCGAGCATTCGAGGGAGGCATCTCATCGCCACCGTGAAGAACTCAGTTTTAAACAAAGGGGAGAATCTAGATCATTCACTTCTCTTTTGTATTCAGGAAATCCAATTGTAATCGAGAGTTGAGAGATTTGTAAACATTCTTTTTCTAAGCGGTTAGAGAGAATAAACTCAAATACAATTCTTTCATTCATTTTCTTATTGCAAATTTTCCATAAACACTCTCAAAAAAAAAACCGATTCAAATTCGATGTGAGATAAAACCCGTCGAAAACCCTAAGTCGGGGTTTTATATCACCGACTTCGCCATGCGAGACAGCCTTCACTGTCTCGTCGTACGAGACAACATATACTATCTCGCATCGCGAGACAGTATATACCGTCTCGCACCGCGAGACAGTATAAGCTGTCTCTTATCGCGAGACAATGACGACTGTTTTGGGTATAATAGGTAATGTTGTGGTGTTTTGATGAAGTTGCCTCAACCCACGTATAATACACATGAATACTCCAACATGTACATGAGTCTAAACTATTTTTCTACATTCGACAGGAAGTTTCTGAAGAATATTACTCAGAATATTCTTAAGGATAACCTGACGACCTTCCAACGGGTATATGAGGTTAAACTATTTCTTGAAAACTCAGAGAGATACATGAGTATAAACTATGTTATTATGAAGACTGATACTGTGATAAACAATCCGGTATCAATTTGGTGACAAAAGCCGAATTCACAAGTACAAATACCAGCTTCGATTCAAGATCTCAACAACGGTCAAGCGATAAACGCAGTACCGGAGGAATGTTAGCTATTCTACAAAGAACTGAATAGACTAAAGAATGAAGAGATCAAGAGTCGAAGCCATTTACGGGTCCTTCTACACGATCTACTCAACCAAGCATTGAAGGGATCATAACTAAAATCTATCCTATCCAAAGTGTCTCAGACTCCTCTATAAAAGAATGAGCCCGAAATACTTTGGAGGGGGTATCTGTAGGCGTCAAAAAATACTGATAGATATCCAAACATAGAGAAGATCACCCAAAAGATCACAAGAATTGACTTCATGCTGTCTTAGTAAGATCAAAACAGTATGAACCGTCTCACCAGCGGGACAGTGTTCACTGCCTCGCAGCGAGACAGTGTTTACTGTCTCTTTACTGTCTCGCGGCGAGACAGTGTTTACTGTCTCACATGCGAGACAGCTCTGAAATGATCAGAAGTTACTAAAATAACTGCCACACATGTGTCCATTAACTGTCAAAGAATGTGGAAAACATCGTGGGAGAGAATCACGTGGATAACTGCCAAAATAATAGAGTTTGAAACGTGGGAAGGCAGTTACAGTACAAACTGCCTGGCAGTTGGATTTTTAGAGACAGTCTTCTCGGCCGCCGAGACAGTAAACACTGTCTCGCAGACTTAATTTCTTCAGATAGTTGTGTTTTTCAGTTAAGCATCCCAGAGGCTATAAATATCCCCTAGGATCATTACTGACGAGGATCGAGCAGATTGGAGCAGATCTGAGCATAGAGAGCAGAGAGAAAACAACAAGACTTGAGTTCCTCGTGTGATTCCTTGAGATTCGAGCTTTGACTTGATCTTAAGAAGAGTGATCGTCTTACTTTGATAAGATATTCACTGATTTTCATTCTTGCTTCTAAACGAAGGAAGGATACCAAAGACCCTCATGAATCTGTGAATCGGTGGTCCACGAGCCAAAGCACTCCCGACATAGGCAAAGTCCCACAAAACAAGAATCGATAAACGATTTTTGTGTTATTTTCTCGAAAGTTGTAATTTTCTCAATTTTTCATTGTAATTCATTGTAAACGATCAAAGTTTAATAGAATCATTAATGGAAATGACTTTCGACGAAAACACTAACCAGATGCTACTTCAAGATGTTTATCATGTCCCAGGAATGAGGAAAAACTAGCTATCTGCGGCTCAATTAACACCATCAGGCTACTATGCCTTGTACGGTCCACGAGATGTGAAGGTGTATCGTGATCTCAAAATTTCAAAAACACCAACAATGGAGGGACAACTATTAGAATCAGTCTACGTGATGTCAGCAGAATCTGCATATGTAGATAGGATAAGAAAAAAACATAAGACAGCAAATCTATGGCACATGCGGTTAGGTCACGTTAGCTATTACAAGCTAAGTGTGATGATGAAGAAGTTGATGCTTAAGGGGCTTCCTCAACTAGATGTGCGAACAGACACAATCTGTGCAGGACGCCAGTATGGTAAAGCACACCAATTGCCATACGAGGAATCGAAGTTTAAAGCAAAAGAACCATTGGAGTTAGTTCACTCTGATGTATTTGGATCTGTTAAGCAACCATCAATTGGTGGTATGTGGTACATGGTGACATTCATTGATGACTTGTCAGGGTATGTGTGGGTTTCTTTATGAAAGAAAAATCTGACACATTCTCAAAGTTTAAAGAGTTCAGAGAGTCAGCAGAAGGAGAAGTGGGAAAGAAGATTCATTACTTGCGCACAGACAACGGGGGAGAATATTGTAGCAAAGAGTTCTCTTACTACCTAATGTAGGCATATAAAATTGCTTATAGGTCCTTTAGCACAGTTCGGCATAAACCGACGAACCAACGAGGCAACGAGTTCGACGAATCGCACGCAAGCGACGGAATGCATCCATACGCGTTCGGAATCAAGCCAAGTGTTCGAAGAGTCAACGAGTCATCCAACCAAGGGCATACTCGGACGAATCACGATCGAATCAAGATCGGTTTCGGACTCGAACTCAGAAGTGGACTTACTGCCTAATCGGGATCCGGATTTACTGCCAAATCAGGTCAACAAATCGAACCCGAACCTATCAACCGCAGAACCGGAAAACGGGCACAAAGAGGCAAAACGACAAACACCTAGGGGTCGGCTCACCGAGCCACCAAGGAGGCTCAGTGGCCGAGCCACCAAGTGGTGGCTCGGCCGAGCCACCTAGATGGCTCGGTAGCCGAGCCACCTTGTGGCTCACCGAGCCACCTTGTGGTGGCTCGGCGGCCACCAAGGTGGCTCGGCACACACCGAGCCACCAGGTGTGGCTCGGCCACACATGGTGGCTCGGTGCCGAACCACCTATAGGTGCTCGGCACCACCTTGGTGGCTCGCACCACCGAGCCACCAAGAGGTGGCTCGGTGGCCGAGCCACCAAGGTGGCCGGCCGAGCCACCTATTGGTGGCTCGGTGGCCGCCGAGCCACTTTTTGGCCGCCACCCTGGCCCAAGGCACAGTGAGGTACCTAAAATAGCCACCCCCTTGTCATTTGAGAAGGTTGGAAATTTTGGAGAGAGGCGAAGCCCTGCTGGATTGGAGACTCGGAACTTAAAAAAGATTGAAACTTTGGGACTTCGGGGACTCACTCCTTCAGATCTGGTGCTCGGCGATCATCAACGTCAAATAAGGCAGGTGTTCGAGAGGATCGGATCTCAGATCTACGTTGCTACACTCCGGATCTAAGCTTGGTCTTAGATCCCGAGACTTGGACGATTGTTTCCTTGGTGAAACAATCCTCCCCGGCTATTATTTCCTTGGTGAAATAATACCCGTTGTACTGCGTAGATCCGACCGGATCTAGATCGCGCGGTGGTCCACGGCAAACAACCCCGGCGCAGGCAAAGAACCCACAAAGCGAGCGACCGCAAAACAGGAGCTCGTGATTCGTTCGACAAACAAGGAAACAAAGTTGTAATTTTTCATTTCTTTTTATTTGATTTTCGTTGTAACCGGATCTTATAAAAAGACCGGATCTTTTGTAACTCAAAAAGTTGTAACTCAAGATGACAATGGAATCATTAATGAAGAAAGCAACGAATTTTCCCGTGAACAATCTGGCGACCACAGTGGGAGCCACCGATCTCGCTGCCGAGATCGGAGCGTCGCAGCCGCGGATCTTGATCCCAGTCGTGGAGGAGGTCGAATACGAGTTCGATCAGACCAAGTTCGAGGAGTACCTTTCATCCTCGTCCAGATCTACCTCCCCCCGCAAGTCCAAGAAGTCCAAGTTCTCTTCCAACAGAAAGGTGCGTTGGTACGAAGAAGTTGAAGCTACCAACGACGACCTCATCTCGATTGACGCCAAAGTTGCGTCAGATGAGGCTCCACCAATCTCCAACCAGATCAAGCTGGTTCCAACCAATTCCTCCGTCACCAAAGGAGCGGTGACTCTCTCAAAGAGAACCCGTCAAAGGTAACACCAGCGCTTGGCCAAACAATTCGCCAAAGCGATGGAGTCGACCGACGGAATCCGCTACAACGCGGATTTGAAGAACGGGAGAGGCAAACAGCCTCAACGGCCGATGAATGGCGACTCTTCCAAGCCGCCAATAATGGAATGGATCCGTGTCAAACGGAACCGATCGACGCTGGAGGAGCGCATTCGCAAGCGCCGCGCACTATCAGCGCAGGCACGGGTTCAAGCTGAAGAAGCCCGTAGAAAGTTGCAAAGAGAGGTAGCCAAGAAGCCGCCACCAACTCGCAAAGTTTGGAGGCCGAAGTCTGAAGCGGCAATTCAGGCTAAGGAGCAACCTTTGCAGCCTCCAACCAAAGTTCAACCTCCGGCGAACCAAGCTAAGCCGCCGAGAATTCCCATAGCTACTCCGGGAGATCATGCAGAATCCTCCCGAAGGAGAAAATCAGTCTTGGAGCGCCTCGGTCCACTCCAAGAACGTTTGGACCCACTACGAAAGCCCCAAACAACGCAACATGCTGGGGGTCGCCCCAAGCGCACTACTTTGCGCATTGAAGTTCGGGAGCCCGTTGAGGATTTACGCCCACAAAGGTGCGTTTCGAGACGCGTGACTCTCGAAAGCCCGAAGAAGGTAATTCGCTCTCAGAAGGAAACGTTATCGTCTGATGATGATTACGTTATACCTGAGAAATCGTGCCAACACACGATAGGTTGCTCTGACTTTCAAACGGACGAGCTGTACTATCGTGCTGGGGGTACGAGCAAAGCCAGAAAGAGAAGTCCTCGAAGGCTAGAAACTCAGTGCCCTTGTTCAAAGCTCATTCGGGCGGTACTGTCTCAATGCAACTGCATCAAGGTAGTCCCCGAGAGAATTTCAGTGTTCGAAAGGCTCGGCACCGAAACGCCAAAACCAAGGCATAGGCGCTTCCGGCAAAGAAGAACGGTGGTTAAAGACGGAGAATTTCCGAGGGTCACCGCCAACATGACCAGCAAAGAGACATCGACACAGGTTAATCTCAAGTCGTTTCTGGAAGCATCCCGGCGTGTAACCCGTCTACAATCCGGAGCCATCAGACGAGGGACTTATGGTAGAATTCGGACAAGACTTCCTTCGGAAGGCGAAGAATCGGATGCCTGCTCTGCGGTCGCATCGGATAATACAGTGTCCAGCGAAGGACAACCCCGCGAGTCATTTATGATAAGCGCGGAAGAAATGGCCAAGATGCTTGAAGACGCTTTGGCTAAACAGAAAGAAAGTTTCAAGTTTGAGATGCAGATGGCCATGCAGACTATGAGAGAGATGCATGAGCAACAAATCCAGGCGTTCAGGAACCAACAAGGTGAACCAAGTCACCGTAATCAGGTTGTTCAGGAAGAAGAGCACACGGATAGGGATGGAGCTCACAATGCCAATAACCCTCCCGTCAATGCAGGGGGTGGTAACGAGGATGCCAACGAGGATACAAGTGAAGACTTGAAGATCAAAGATCTCGAGAGCAAAATCAACACATTGATCTCCGCTCAAGAGACGAAGAAAACAGGCATTCCCTGTCCATACCCAAGAGAGTGGGAATCGATCCCCTATCCGGCGAAGTTCAGTTTAATCAACTTCACGCCGTTCGATGGGAAGGGTTCCCCCACTCAGCATTTGATTTATTTCAAATCGCACCTGGGTATTATTTCCGGCAATGAGCCTCTGATGGTGCGGTCATTCGTCGGCACTCTTCGCGGAGCCGCCTTCGATTGGTATCGCCGCCTCAAGCCAGGAAGCGTAAATAGCTGGGACGACATGGAGACAAAATTCCTCGCTAACTTCTTCGACGACGACACCGAGATATCTATCGGATCATTGCTCGATGAGAAGCAGAAGGACGGGGAGTTAGTCGACACCTTCGTCAAAAGGTTCCGGAACAAGGCGATGAATTGCCGGGACCCGATCACCGAGGAATTCATTCTCCAGACCTGCCATAATAATCTGTCCTTAGACGTATTGGAAGCAATGGGGACAGCACCGTCTGACACTTGGAAGGATCTGAAGGTCCGAGGGGAGCAGGCTGAGCGATTCCTTAGAAGGAAAAAGGCCGAGAGGAACCAACCGACGGATAATCCGCTGGACTCAAACTTCGCCTCTCGTGGTAAGGGCAAAACACCTGCAGCTACTGGTGGTGCTAATCAAGCGTCACAACAGCAATCTCGAAGGCAGCAAAAGACTTCGGGTCCGAGATTCCAAAAAGAGTACTCTTTCAAGGACGAAGACGTTCCAGCCATCTTCGAATCCCTCCTGGAAGGTAACAAGATCAAGCTACCACCTATCACAAATCAACAGGAAGCTGACAACACTACGGACCCAAAGTACTGTGCATACCACAGGAGGGTCGTTCATCCCACCAAGGATTGCTTTACTCTCAAGAATAGCATTCAGACCTTGGTTGAAGCCGGCGTCATAACGCTAAGGTAAGCCAATTGAGAACGGCAAAACTCCAAAGAGTATACGAGTATAAACTGTTTCTCAATCTAAGCCAATTGAAAATGGCAAGACTCCGATAAGTATAAGAGTATAAACTGCTTCTTAAAACTCCAAAGAGTATACGAGTATAAACTGTTTCTCAACCCTTCGACCGGTATAAGAGGTTAAACTACTCCCTGATACTCCAATAGGTATATGAGTCTAAACTGTTTCCCCACTTTTGACGGGAAGTTCCTGAAGAATATTAAGCTAATATTCTTAAGGATAACCCGGTTAGATAACTGATAATAATGTCCGAACCAGTTCCGCAGAGGAAACTGGGGGTGGACGATTTATGTAACGGGAAGTTCCCAAAACCACAGCAATGTAATGAATAAGAACTCCCATTCAAATTCTCACCATGTCTGTGCACTCAACACTCTCTCTATTAGAGTCTGGACATAAAATTCCCAATTGGTCAAACCTTCTTACAGTTAGGACCACAATCAAAATCCCCTCTCGATTCCTGCAATGAACGAGAGGTCCTCAAATCGAGTGATCAAACCTTCCTACAGTTAGGGTCACCTTAAACTCCTGTTTGGCCAAACCTTCCTACAGTTAGGGTCAAAACCATGATTCACTCTCGATAAACGAGAAATTCATCTTTAGTTCGGTAATCAAACCTTCCGACAGTTAGGGTTATCCGAATCTTTTCGATTCTCGGAGTGGAGATCCCACTCTCAGTTTCACCTTTCCG